GGTGCTGATTAAGGAGACCCCCTCCTTCGATCGATCTCCTCCGAGGTGACCCCTAATATTGCCCCCGACGCTCCCAATGCTGCCTCAAGAGGGCCCCAAGAGGTGTCCAGGAGGCCCCTGGAGGCCCCCGAGAGGCCTCAACGAGGCTCCCAACGAGGCCCCCAAGACGCCCCCAGAGGCCTCCTAGAGGCCCCCCAGAAGCACCCAAGACGCCCCAAGTCGCCTCGGCGAGAAAGCTCAAATCATTGATTGTAGCAAGGTTTTGGCCACATCTCCTGCGGGGGGAACCCCTGAGGAGCCCCCCTCCTTTGACCTATCCTATCTCTCCCAAGATGGCCCCCAAAGGTGCGGCAAGACGGCACCGTGAGGTGCCCAGGAGGCCCAAGAGGCCCCCACGATGCCCCCAAGACGCCCCCTAAGAGGCTCCCAAGAAACCCCTAGGAGGCTCCAAAAGGCCCTCCAGAGGCACCTAAGACGCCCCAAGAGGCCCCCGGACTGCCAAGAGAACACGCCCCGAAAGGACTCCAAGAAACTCTCGAAAGAAATCCGAAGGACTCCGAGAGGCATCCAGGAGGCCTCTGGCCTCTCTGCTCGCCCTCCTCCTCCTCCTCCTCCTCCTCCTCCTGTTCCTCATCCGCCTCTTCCTTCTCCTTTCTCGTCCCTCCTCCCCACTCTCCCTACTTATCTTCTTCCTTCTCCTCCTCCTCCTCCTCCTCCTCCTCCTCCTCCTCCTCCTCCTCCTCCCCTCCTCTTGCTCCTCCTCCTCATCATCATCATCAGCAGCATCAGCATCAGCATCAGCATCAGCATCAGCATCAGCACCAGCATCAGCATCAGCATCATCATCAGCATCAGCATCATCATCATCATCATCATCATCATCAGCATCATCATCCTTATCCGATTCATCCTCCATCCTCCCCCTCTTGGAGTACGACGTCTTACCCAACCCTTTATTCCTCTGAGACTCTGCATGTTGTTCCACATCCCTGATCAGGGCAACTCGTCTGGGCATCGTTTCAACATGGGCTGGTGATGTTACGCGAGGCGTCTAGAATACACAGAACCTGGCGCGCGCTCTGCCACAGCAAATCCCAATGCCTACCGACTAGTCGAACTTTCTTGGCTATTCCGACGCATTCCCAAACGGCGCCGGCACGAATCGTAGCGTTTCCAGGGGGGGGCTGGGGAGGGTCACGGCCGCTAGCACAAAACATAAGAAACGCTCGCTTGAGCCTGTGTTTGATCGTCCCAGAGCCGGGGAGGTCCCTGGGAAGCCTGAGAACGGCGAAAACAAACCCTCCTCAGAGCCAGTCTCCTTCACGGCGGGAGGAGGAGGAGGAGGAGGAGGAGGAGGAGGAGGAGAAGGAGGAGGTTGAGCGTGCCAAGGAAGGTCAAGGATCCTGCCAGGCAGCAGACTTACCTGTCCCTCCAAAGGGCCACGTAGGCGCCGCTTAGGAGAATGCGCACTGCATTCTGGATGGTCTCTGCCATCTCCTCAGCCTCTTCGGGCCGAACCTGAATCCTGCTCGGGGCCCGCTGGGCGACCAGCAGAAACAGGTGGACTAAAGAAACTACGAGCACGATATTCCGAGCTGAGCCCATGCCACGAAGAAGCATCCGAGCCGAATCTGGCCATCGTCAGGGACAGGCCGGCCTACTGCTGTGGCTGCACTTGTAGTTGCTCTCAGACAAGCGGTAAGACAAGAGGTTTGGGTGTCATGGCGCCTGCAACAGCCGAAACTGCACCCTTCCCCTGAACCCCCCCCACGCGGTGGGCGGTGCATCACCCGCCCACCCAGCGGAGCACGGCCGACCGCCATGCAGAGGGTATGGCGTCCACCTCCGTTTTCGGACGGGCGCAGTCGACATCCCGCCTTCTCACCTCCGCACCGAGCCACTTCCTGAGACGCTTGGCCAAGTCGGCCACGAGCGCGCCGGCCCGCCGGGGCTCGGGGGGAAGGAGGGCGCCCTGCAGCAGCGGGACGCAGCGCCCCTGCCACCGCTCCCGACGCTTTAAGTGCCCGTCTTGCAGATGCCAGCCGTCGCCCCGCTCGTGCGTTGCCCAGCCCAGCAGCTGCCCCGACCCTCGGCGGCCGCCGCGGCGCGAGGCAGGCCGCCCCCCGGCACTGAGCTTCGGGTGGCCCCCCTCGAAACCCTCTCGCGGCCTCCTCGAGCCGCGGCGCAGTGCAATCGGTCTTCCGCCACTGCGGCGCCAGCTTCCGTGTGCAGAGCCACACGTCCGCAGGGCTGGCGTCCCCGATGGCACGCCGCGGACGGCAGGGGCCGTCGCGCCACTGGTCAGGCGTGAAGGACTGGTGGAGCGAGGGAGAAGGAGGAGGAGGAGGAGGAGGACGAGGCGAAGGAGGAGGAGGAGGCGGAGGAGGAGGCGGAGGAGGAGGCGGAGAAGGAGGACGAGGGAGTGAGGAGGAGGGGGAGGAGGTCTTTCGAGCCCCCCGAGCACGGCGCGAGTGAAGAGTGGGCGCGCGCCAGATGACGCCCACGCCCGCGCCCACCACCTGAGCCCGGGCGGTGAGCCCTCACTGCGCAAGCTCCTCCTCCGCCTCCGCCTCCGCCTCCGCCTCCGCCTCCGCCGCTCCCTCCAGTTCTTTCGTCCCCGCGCTCTGGCCCAGGGCTTTGCGGCGGCAGAACTTCGGCCGGGGGGGGGTGGAAATGAGGAGGAGGAGGAGGGGGAGGAGGAGGAGGAGGACGAGGAGGAGGAGGAGGAGGAGAAGGAGGAGTAGGAGGAGGACGCAGGAGGGAGGACGCAGGAGGGAATGAGGAGGAGAAGGAGGAGGGGGAGGAGGAAGCGGACGAAGAGGAGGAGGGGGAGGCTTGCAAGAGCTTCACGGCTTGAGGGCGGGTCAATTTCCAAATTTGGCTCTCGCTCTAACGCCGCGCGCATTCGTTTGAAATATTTGACAATGTGTCATCGATTGAGGGCGGTTCGTTTTCAAAATGTGGATCTCGCCTACGCGCCGCGCGCATTCGTTTTACACATTTGCAGGAATTTAGCGGATTGAGGGCGGTTCCTTTTCAACATGTGGTTCTCGCCAGAGCGACGCGCACATTCGTTCTAAACATGTGCAAGAGCTTCGCGGATTGAGGGCGGTTCCTTTTCAAAATGCGGTTATCGTCATGCTCCGCGCACATTCGTTTTAACACTTCCAAATCGTTTCACTTATTCTCATGGTTTATGTATGAGAAATTATATGTTCCGAACGATTCAGGACTGTCAGGGCGCAACGCTTACGTTGATTCGTGGTGAAATCTCAGAAATGGCGTTGTGGCACGATTCTGGATCGTCAAGACGCAACAATCAGATTAACTCGGGGCGCTCAAGAAGTCCTGAGAATGTGTTCAGGTGCGCTTGTCGTCCGCTGTCGGGGCATTTCCCCCAGTGAAAATGAATCCCTGTAGGGGCCAATGAAGAGGGAGCCTAGGGTGTATTCCAATATCGTTGATGAGTCTTCGGTATACACTGGTCCTCCTCCACCTCCTCCTCCACCTCCTCCTCCTCCTCCTCCTCCTCCTCGTGTTCCTCCTCTCGCCTCCTCTTCCTCTTCCTCCTCCTCCTCCCCTCCTCCTCCTCCTCCTCCTCCTCCTCCTCCTCCTCCTCCTCCTCCTCCTCCTCCTCCTCCTCCTCGTCATAATAAGTGCCACGTCCATCCACATCCCAATCCCCATTCGCACCCTCATTGTCCGCACGCTCGTCCTCATCCCCGTCGTTTCGTGGATCTTCTGACCCGGGTCAATCCAGACCCGGGTCAGCAGGAAACCAAAAAACTGCAACGCAGGAGCAACAAAACTGCAACGCAGCTCTTCGCAAACCCGGGTCGGCCAATGTGCGCGGCCGCCTCGCGGCCACGAGCGGCTCGCTGACCCGGGTCAGCGAGAGGGGGTCTTCGCAGGATCCTTCAGGATCCGGTGCCCTGGCTGACCCCCGTTTGCACTGATCTTTTGGTGTCCGTTCCATGGGAGCCTGCGTGGCCCCCGGCACTGTCCAATTTGGGCCTGATTTGGACCGGATTTGGAACACATTTGGACCAGATTTGGACCAGACTTGGACTGGATTCGTGGGGGTTTGGAGAACGAGGGGGGGGGAGGGGGAACAGGAGGGGAGAGGAGGAGCAGGAGGATGGGCCACATGTGGCCCCCACGCTCTCCACATGCAGGAAAAGCTGATTTCAACGTCGCCTTCCAAGGCTCCCATGAACAGACATTGCACTGGCCCCCGTCTCTTAGGCTCCGATCGTTGTCGTCGTCGTCCTCCCCGGCCGCCAGCGACGCGTAACACAGCGTCGCGAGGAAGGCCCACACGACGTGTTCCATCGGGCACCCCTCGCGGGGCGCAGCGGCGCCCGCCTCCCGGACGGGGGAGCTGCGGGGCCGGGGGGGGGAGGAGGGAGGAGGAGGAGGGGGAGGAGGAGGCGGAGGAGGAGGAGGAGGAGGAGGAAGTGGAGGAGCTCTTTCCGAGCTCTTTCGAGCCGCTACGTCGTGGCACGCCCGCGCGGGCGCGCGGTCGGCGCGCGCGCGCGCGAGTCAGCGCTGCCCCCAGCGCCGCTCGGCCCACCTCGGCCCCTCCTCTCAGGCGGCTCCGCAGCCGTGTCCTTCTGCTGCGGGGCGGGGAGGACCACCTCTTCTGCCATCACCTCCGTGTCGCGTGGTCCGCTGGTCCCGCCTCGCGAGCCGCTCCCCTCCGTGCGCCAAGAGCGGGCCGACGGCCGCCGTTCTGGTCGGCCTGGCCTCGGGCGGCGGGCGAGCAGCTCTCCTCCTCTCCGCCTCCAGCAGCGCTCGCGAGGCCTCGCGTTGCGCTGCCTCCTCCTCAGCCGTGTCCTCTGCGGCTGCTTGGTGCGCTGGAGTCGGTGCTGGCGTCGGTGCTGGAGCGGCGGCGGCGGTCGCGTCCAGAAGCCTCCTCACTACTGGTTCTTCGTCTCTGCGTCGTTCGCTTTCTGACCTTTCGGGTCTCCTCTCTGGGGAGGGGTCAGGCTCAGCGGCGCCTCGCGTCCTCGCTGTAGCTTCCTCCTTCTCCGCCCTGCGCCTGGCCAGCTCGGCCCTCTCCCCATTATCCCGCCTCGCGGGGCCCCTGGCCACGCCTGGGGCGTTCAGAGGTGGGGGAGGGCCTGGCTCGCCTGCCTCAGCCTCTGCCTCTGCGCCAGCAGTGTCGCCTCGGCGCTTCACCCGCAGGCGACGGGGTGGCTCTTCCTGTTTATTTCGCCCGGAAACACCACTTGTGCCCCCCGCCGCGTCGACCTCCGTGATATGGCTGCCGCTGGCCGCCTCCTGCTCCTCTGCCGCCGTGGCGCCTCGCGCCCTCGCTGCAGCCTCCTCTTCCCCCGCCCTGCGCCTGGCCAGCTCGGCCCTCCACCCATTATCCCGCCTCGCGGGGCCCCTGGCCACACCTGGGGCGTTCAGAGGTGGGGGAGGGCCTGGCTCGCATGCCTCAGCCTCTGCCTCTGCGCCAGCAGTGTCGCCTCGGCGCTTCACCCGCAGGCGACGGGGTGGCTCTTCCTGTTTATTTCGCCAGGAAACACCACTTGTGCCCCCCGCCGCGTCGACTTCCGTGCTCTGGCTGCTGCTGGCCGCCTCCTGCTCCTCTGCTTGGGGCTCCTCCTCGGTGCCCTCCTCGGCGGGCATGTCGCAAGTGCCTCTCTCGCACACCGCTTGCATCAGCCAGCACTGGAGCCTGTAGTGCCCGGTGTCGCACGCCGTGTGTCCGCAGCAGGGCTCCTGCAGCTTCTTGGCGATCAGCTCTGTGGTGGCGCCTCCGCAGTTCTCGCAGAACCATCGGTTGTGCCTCCTGAGCCGCCTCAGCTTGCGCGCGGGGTGCAACTCGACTCCGTACTTTGTGACCGTGAGTGCCGTCGGGGGCGGAGGTCCGCTGCAGGTCTGCGTCAGCCATCCATGTATGGTCTTCGCCGTGGTAGTGCTGCTGACCGACTCCCAGCAGCAGGGGCATGTCCAGCCTGTGCCCCGACGGCCCCGCTTCAAGGCGTGCTGTGAAGCGGGCCTTCGCTGGTGGTTGTCGCCGAGCAGGTCCTTCTTCCTCAGCGTCTCCTGCCTCCTCCGCTTGACCTGGGCTCGCCGTGCCTCTCGCATCTCCTTTTTCTCTGGCGGCCGTCTGGTGAGTGGTTCTTCGTGGTGGCTGCGATCCTCTGCCTGGCCAAGTGCGCCGTCGCCCTCACCCACTCGTAGCAGCTCATCTCGGCGTCGCTGATCGCGTGGGTCTTCGCGCCTGCCGCTGCGTACTCGTCCGCCGCCTTGTTGCCTGCCCAGACTCGCCGTGTGATGCCTTTCTCTCTGGCCTCCTGCTCCGTCATGTGGCTGTTGAGGTGGTGCACGCTGATGTCGCTGCGATCGCCACCTCTCTTGCGAATCGCCTCGCCGAGCTGATGCCACAGGTCGCCGTTGATGCAGCCGGGCCCCGTGGTCTCCTCGCGCCTCGCAGCCCAGCCTGTGCACGTGACCTCGCTGTCCGTCCAGAAGCTGACCTTGCCCTCTGTCGAGTTGACGAAGCTGATCAAGCTGAAGAGCTCCGCTCTATTGCTGGTCTGTCTGGGTCCTGGCAGCGGGCCGGATCGGGCGCCCGCTATCCCGTCGGTGTCTCCCCCTTCGTGTAGCAGCACCCAGCCCCAGCCGCATCTGCAGTACCTCTCGTCAGCGCTGTACTCGCCTCCTGAGCCGTCGCCGCAGCCTGTGAGCTCGCCGCCTTCAGTTGCACACAGCCTGTCTGAGGTGATGCTGGCGCCCGTGGTGTGCTCGATGTGCTTGGTGTCGCACTTCGGGGGCGTGGACCACTTCTTCGGTGTGATGCCCCTCAGCCAGAACGCGGGGCTCTCCTTGGCTCCGACGTGCGCCCTGCTCGCCAGGCCCTCGGTCTTGCGGATGGCCTCGCAGTCTTCCCTGGCGGTGCAATCGCCCCAGATCCTGTGCTCGTCATCCTCGGGCCCCCCGCATTCGCACATGACCTCCTCGCCGCCGAAGGTCTCGTGCTTCCGTCTTCGCGTCCAGGTACATGCGCACGCCGCTGTGAGGAGCGCGCCGTAGGTGCCGTGGTGTTCTTTCTTCGCGAGCTGCCCGAGGTGCTTCTTAAGGTCCGTCACGTCTGCGCCGTGCTGTAGACCTCCTCCGTTGCGGTGCTGTGCGGCTCTCTCCCACAGCTGGTCCTGGATGTCCTGCAAGAACGCGTCGACTATCTCCGTGTAGTCGCCGCCCTGGTCCTCGGTTCTGAACTTCCAGTAGTCGCCGCTTCTGTCGATCCAGATGTCTGGCCCTCCGGAGTCCCAGCCCACTTCCCACAGCAGGAGGATGAGGCTGGCGAGCGGTCACTTTCGAGCTTGCCACCTCTTCTCCGCTCTGAACTTTAGCAGCTGGAAGTAGATCTTCGGCCACGCGCGCTTGACCTGATCCCTGATGTCGGGGCCCCTGGCCCAGACCTCGGACCAAGTCTTCAGCTGCGCCTCCACCGGCGTGGTCGCGGGGTCTGCTCCCTCCAGCGCCAGGAACGTGGTGATGCACCTGCCTGGCCACGGGCGCCTAAGCGCCTGCGCATACCTGCGCCGCGCCTTCTGCCTCGCCCAAGGGGCCATGCCGTGCACCGTCGTGCCGTACATGTAGGATGCGACTGCACCATGGTGAAGTATGCCTCTCCTTCTCCTCAGCTGCAGCCTCTTCAACTTCGGGCCCACTGCGCCACAGCGTGCGAACGCGCTCTGCGTCCGCTTCCTGTGCGTGGCCCTCCTCAACGTGCCCTTTGCGCCTCTGTTGATGCCTAAGTCCCTGCCCTCCGTGACGGCCTGGGCCGAGAGGTTCTTTGCTCGCCGCGCCTTCTGGGCCCTCTTGGTGGTGCGGAAGCTGGAGCTGAAGATGACCGTCTTGTCCGCGAGCGAGAGCCCCTGGCCTTGGAGTCCGTCTCGGAGCCCCACTGTGACTGCCGTCAGCTCTTTCTCGACTGCCTCTGCGCTGCCCATGATGCGGATGCTGATGTCGTCGAACAAGGCCCTCGGCATCGGCTTGGGCAGCGCCTGCGAGGCCTCCAGCATCCCCCCGAGGATGGAGTAGACCACCGTCTTGGCCAGGTTGCTCGAGTGCCTCGAGCCTGCCAGCAACGATCTGTCTGCCCAGGCCGGTGTCGAGTATGCTCCTTTCCAGCGTGGCACTCTTGTTGCCGAGTGCTTCAGCAGCATCATCACCAGCAGGCTGGGGCGGAAGTCCATCCGTAAGTCTGCCTCGATGGCGCAGTCGAGCTGGAGGCTGTCGTAGAACTTCTCGATGTCCGCGAGCAGGTTGCCGTGGAAGAGCTTCAGCGCGTCGCAGCACTCGTCGCATATCACTCCCCGCATCGCCTCGCGCAGGCAGCTGTTGCCTGCGACTGCAGCGTCCCATTCTCGCTCCTGCTGCTTGGCCCATCGCCTCACCGCAGGCCTGTGAAGCAGCTCCCAGCAGCGCACCATCTGCGGGAGCAAGGCTAGGGCCCTGTCGCCCTTCGCGGGCTTGGGGGCCAGCAGCGCGATCTTGCACAGCAGCTGCCACGGCCATGCGAGCGCGCGCTCGCATGCGTTGAAGAGCTCGACGATCCTCTGGCGGCCCTCTGGCGGCAGCCTACGGATGTCCGAGCACACAAGCATGTCAATGCCCTTGCCCTTGTCTGGCTCGCCCCTGAGCGCCTCGTCTAGGTCCTCGAGCGACCACTCAGCAGCCTGCTCGGCTTTGGCGCGCTCTCGCAGCCGCTGGAAGATCTCGGTGTGCTGCTCGTGCCTCAGCCTGTCGCACTTCCAGATGTTGTGGAACGACTTGGCTTTCTCGTCCACGATCCTGGTAGGGCAGTCGAGCACACCGTCTTCAGTGAAGACCTCCTCCTCTCTCCTCGGCGGCGGCTGCGTTATTCGGTGAAGGACTCCAGCGTCTTTCTCCGCTAGCGCAAGACACTGCCCGAAGGCCCTCGAGTTCTCCTTGAGGTCCCTCTTGATTGCGTTCCTCTTTTCGTCCTCTGCCTGCATTGCCATGCCCTGGATCACGTCGGTGTCGACTTTACTCAAGTCCGCCAGTCGTGTCCTCCAGATTTCTCTGTGTAGCTTGGCCGTGTCCGATGCCTTCTCGCTCGTGTTCGGGAGGCCGTCGTAGGCGAGGTGCCTGCCCGTGGCCTCCAGGTGGAGCTGCTGCCGCACGTCTTTGTCTCGCCGCTGCAGCCTCGCCAACAACGACAGGGTGTTCTCGGCTCTGCTCCACCAGTCGGCTCTGCGGTTGGCATACCTCTCTTCTCTCATGCTTTTCTCTACCCTTGCACATGGTGAATGTCCTCGGGTCTCCAATGCCGCAATACTTCGCTCGGTCCTGTGGGTCGATGTGGTAGGCCATGCAGTAGAAGTGCTCCATCGTGTTCATGGTGGCCGCGAAGCTTTGGCTGAGGTCGATGGCAGATTCTGCGGTCGCCTTGAAAGCGGCGCACTTGGCGATGTATTCAGGTACCTCGGCCTCAAGTGGTGTCTCCGCTGCCATTTCCATCATAGTCCAGAGGTCTCCCATCGCTGTCGTGTCCTGGTACCGATTGTCTTCGGGCCCTGGCGACGACGAACCCACCGACGGCTCTGGCGTGGCGGGAATTACGCTCTGACGCCCGTCGGTGATGCCTGCGCTGTGTGGCGACGACATGCCCACGGTCGGCTCGAGGAGCACCGAGGTGGGACTTGCGATCTGACGCCGGTTTGGGCTGGGGTCGCGTTCGCCAGTATGTGCGCAGCTTCCAGGCGACGTTGAACCCACAGACGGCTCGAGGAGCGCCGTTGTGGGATTTGCGTTCTGACGCCCCTGCTGCGTGTAGTTTCGCCCCAGGTCCTGGCCGTTCTCGTCGCACATCCTGATCGCCTCGGCCTCGGCCTCAGGGCCCAGGTCAGCGAACGCGTCGGCCTCGTCGTCGTCCATCTGGCGTCTGCACGCGCTGTGTGGCGACGACATGCCCACCGTCGGCTCGAGGAGCACCGAGGCGGGACTTGCGATCTGACGCCGGTTTGGGCTGGGGTCGCGTTCGCCAGTATGAGCAACACTTCCAGGCGACGTTGAACCCACAGACGGCTCGAGGAGCACCGTTGTGGGATTTGCGTTCTGACGCCCCTGCTGCGTGTAGTGCAGCACCAGGTCCTGGACGTGCTCGTCGCACATCCTGATCGCCTCGGCCTCGTCCTCAGGGTCCAGGTCGGCGAACGCGTCGGCCTCATCGTCGTCCATCTGGCGTCTGTACCCGCCGAACACGTGGGCCTCTGAGCCGTCTCTCCCAAGTCCCCCGTGCCCGCCCAGAGGTTCGAAGCCGACGGAGCAGGGGGGGCAAGGTTGAGACGGGGGCCTGGGCGCGTCGCCCTGGCCGACCTCCACGGTCTCGGTGGACGGGGAGCTGGTCCAGCCTGCCACTGGTGTGAGCGCCTCCCAGCGCTCGTCGTCCAGGAGCTCGGTGTTCTGGCCTCTGCCTTCCCCGATCTGCGTGCCTGCAGCGCTTGCCTTGGCCTCCTCCATGGCCTTGGCCTGCAGTCTCCTCTTCGTCCTCTTGCTTGCTGGGTTGGGCGCCTTGCCCTTCCTCGGCGGGTGCGGGAACGCCTTCGGCTGGTTCAGCCTTCTGCACTGGGTCTGTAGTCCTTGCCCTCGGATGGTGAACTTCAGCCCGATGTGCGGCTTCCACGGTACGTCGTAGACGCCCTCGACTCCTGCGATCAGCTTGCTGCCTGCCTCGTTCGTCATCGCGAAGTCGATGTGGGAGGGCTCCTGCTCCGCGAGGAAGCAGGTGTGCTGGTCTTCTGGCAGTGAGATGATTGAACTCGCTCCCATCGCCTTCGGCCAGCCCGTCGCCCAGAATGTCTTCGGGTCGGTGTCGAAGTCGCCGCAGACCCCCCACGCCCCTTGCAGCGTCTTGGTGAACGCGGCCAAGGCCGTGAACTTGCGGCTGTTGACGCCGTCCACCAGCGACTTGTTGCAGTCCAGGTAGAGGCTGATAACTGTGAGCGTCGTTCCCTTCCGGTGCCAAGTGACTGGGGTCCAGTCGCACATGTCGAAGCCGCCTGCTCGTTCAGCGCCTCGTCGAATGTCAGCTGTGGCATTCGAGACCTGCCGAGCTCTGGCCATGTGCCTGAAGCTGGTGACGCGCAGGTGCCCCTTGGAGATCACTGCCGCTCCCCCACAGCAGCCTTTCTCCGAGCGTGTGCTATCTCTGGCCGCGGCGCATGTGGCCCTGAACCCCATTTTGCACAGGTCTTGCTCCGCGTCCTCAATCTTGGCATGTGGAACGTGCATTTCCTACAGTGCCATCATGTCGAACCCTTTGCCCCCGATGCCCTGCTGCATCAGCCACAGCCGTGCTGTGGGACCCCACGTTGAGATGCTGGCGCAGAGGAGCGTGCGCTCGCGGGCGGCGGCGTCGCCAACATCCTGCCGCCGTCGCCCCCGCGCGCGCCCCCAATGCGACGGGGGGCTGCCTGCCCCCGCTGCACCCTGCGCGGCGCGCCTGCTGGCCAAATATGCCTCGGCCTCGCTGGCGCTGACGGCGGCGTTGCCTCCTGCTGCCGCCGCTGCCGCTGGGGGGGCCGCCGCCTCTGCTGCTGCCTTGGGGGCTGTGGGCTCTCCCGTTGCCAGCTTCCTCTTCTCGGCCTCCTGCTGGATGGCCCTCCGCTTCTCCAGCGCCGCCTCCTTGGCCTTCGCGAGGTGCTCCCGCAAGTGGCCTTGGAACTGCTCGGCGTTTTCCTGCATCTGCTTCGCGACCTGGGCCTCGGCCTCCTCGACCTGTCGCTTAGCTTCTTCGTCCATGTCGTCGCCCGCCAGCGCGAACTCCTTGCTGATGTCTGCTGCCAGCTGCCATTCAGTCAACTCGTCGAGCTGTCCCGTCACGGGCTGCTCGATGATGCCTGCCAAGGGGCCTTGCTTGCCTTCATGGTGGGTCGCGTCGCACTCCGCCCCTGCCTGCAGCACAGCTGCTGCCTCTCCTCGAGCAGCCCCCTTGCCTTGTGCGCCGCCTCCTCGGACTTCTGCTTCGCCGAGAACGCCAGCGCGTACTGCCTCTACGCCGACTGCAGCGCGCGCGCCGCGGCAGCCATCCTCTCGGCCCTCGGCTTGGGCGGCGATGTTGGCTTCGCCGCCTGCAGAGCCGTGGCCGCCACCTCGATCTGCTTGGTGATCGTCGCGCTCCCCTCGATCTGCAGCTGCCCGAGGGAGGCGGTGATCAGCTGCAGCGCCTGGGCCAGCTGCTCGGGGCCCTTGCCCTTGCCGCCCGCCTTCCCGCCACCTGGGCTGCCGCCTTTGCGAGCCGCTTCTGTCTGCGTGGCCTTGGCGTCCTTGGGCCTCGGCAGCACCTTGTGGCAGGAGCCGCAGCGGTACTCCATGCTCTCCAGCTTGTTCCACCACCACTGGCCGCACGACTTGCAGACGGCGTACTCAGCTGAGCGGCCCATCCTCGCTGTCGGCGGTGCACTGCCGTGGTGTCGCGCCAGCAGCTGGGTCTGCAACCTCGCCTTGGGGCCTCTGCGCGCCTCCGCGCGCACTCGGCGCTCTCGCCTGTGCCAGGCGGGCGAGCGCTCGCGCTGCGCCGTCCTGGCGGCCGCGCTGCCTCCTCCTCTGCCTCTGGACGCGCCGCCTGGCGCTGGGGGCCCCGATGGCGCGGGCCCGCGTGCGCCCCGCCGCGGGGCAAAACGGCACGCGCGGGGCCTCGCTGCGGAGCCACCGAGGATGAAGGGGAGGAGGAGGAGGAGGAGGAGGAGGAGGAGGAGGAGGAGAAGGAGGAGGAGGATGAGGAGGGGGAGGGGGGGAGAGAAAATGGTACGGCGGGTTCTTGTCTCTGACACCGCGTGGATCGCTCAGCCTCCAGCGATCGGCGGCTCTTCGATGATCAGGTCGTTCCAAGGTGGCCGATTATTCTGGACCGCTGGCAGAATTTGACCCTGAACGCCCACGGCGGGCTCGCCGCCGCCTCGACACGAGGCGAACCTCTCGTAGAGGGGGTGAGGGGAGAGAAGGGGAGAGGGGAGAGGGGGGGAGGCAAGCTAGGTGCGTTCGCGCCACATCTGACACCCCTTTTCTCCCCACCCATCCCTTCCCATTGCGCTGATTGTTTCTCTATCCGCGGACGCGTGTCATAACGTACCTGGAACTCCAACGAAGGCCCCATCGTGGTGTGCGCAATCGGAACAATGGAACTGCGTACATTGGAGGAGGAGGAGGAGGAGCAGGAGGAGGAGGAGGTGGAGAAGGTGGCGGATGAGCAGGAGGATGAGCAGAAGGAAAAGGAGGAAGATGAGGAAGGATGAGCACGAGGACGAACAACCGCAGCAGAAGCTGGAGGGGACGGAGCGGGAGAAGCAGGAATGCCAGGGGAAGGCGGAGGAGGGGAAATGAGGGCGGCGGCCCCGATGAACAAAAACAACTCGGACTCCGACAAGTGGCCCGCGCGGCGGCGAGAGTGCCATTCCGAACGACTGGAGCAAAGCGCCGATCAGAAAATGAGGCTCACGCTGCAGAGGGAACACCACTATGAAGCACCAAAGCCCACCGGACTGTAACACTGCAGAAGACACATCAGCATTTGAAACCATGTGCGCAAAAAACAAGTCGCGGAGAGGGCCGACCATCCTCCCGCCAGAATCAAGACAGGGGAGTAGAATCCGCAAGGTGTAATTGCATAGAGGCGGAGGAGGAGACGTAGTATATAAGATGACTCGGCATTGCGCGTATGGGATGTGGCATGAGGCTGTGCACACGTGCTTGGCAAGAGAGAGAGAGGGAAACAATATACATATATATATATATATATATATATAATGAGAGAGAGGGGGGGAGAGAGAGAGAGAGAGAGAGAGAAAAAACAAATGAGAGAGATAATAAACAAAGCAAATCACAAACATCAGCAACACACACATACAGAGAAAGACAGAGAGCTGTACACTCGCAAATTGCCGTAGGGAGGAGGAGAGAGGGGGAGGAGGGGAAGGTAGGTGCGCGCATTATATCTGGCGTCCTACACAGAGAGCTGTACTCTCGCAAATTGCCGCAGGGAGGAGGGGAGAGGGGGAGGAGGGGATGGTAGGTGCGCACAATATATCTGACATCCTACACCCACTTGCCCCCTACCACATAGGACGAGACTCGACGAAGGCGAGGCCCTGTATGGAATGTGAGAAGGAGGAGGAGGAGGACGAGGAGGAGGCAGAGGAAGAAGGTGGAGGAAGAGTAGGAAGAGGAGGAGGAGGAGAAAGAGGAAAAGGAGGAGGAGGAAGAGGAGGAGCTGCGAGGGAGGAGAACTGAGTAGCAGAAGGAGGAGGAGGAAACCATTTCCATATCCACAGCCTCGCGGGCCCGGCCCCTGGGCGGCGACCCTACGGAGACGGAGTGTTTTTTTCCGCGGATGCCCCGCACGGAGCGTATTCATGCGACCGCGTCTCCACGGCCTCGCCCCCGAATCCAGACCGCGAGGGCGTGGACATGGACACGTCCGCCGCTCGTGGACCAGGAACCAGGGGGGGGGCGCAGAAAGGGGGCGGGCCTTTTCAAAAGGCTCAAAAGGCCTCCAGCCTTCCTCCGAAACCACTGATGACGTCTCGGAAGCCCAGAGGGCTTCTGAGAAGCCCCGCCGCCTTCCGAGAAGGCCTGCCCCCTCTCACATCCCCCTTCGGCTTTCGGGCCGTACATCGGGTCTGCGGCGGCCGTTCGGGACGATCTGGGCCCTCCCGGAACGCTCTCGGCGAGGCGCAGCTGCTGGAACGCATCCCGAGGCTGGAAAACCGCTGGGAACCGACGAGGAAGCTGGAAGACCACGGGCCACGAACTCGGCGAGGCGCAGCTGCTGGAACGCATCACCGCCGAGGAGGCCTGAAGGCCACGAGCCTCGAACGAGCCTCGAACTCGGTGGGGCGCGGCTGCTGCAACGCATCCGGCGGCTGGGAAAACGCCAGGAACCGCCGACGAGGCCCAAAGTCCACGAACCTCAGACCACGACCCTCGCCCTTCTCCCCGCGGCGCGCCGCCGGTCAGGACGGCGAGTCCTCCGTCCGCCTACATGCGGGATATGCGCGGCGCGGCCCCTCTGTGAGGGGCAACGACAGGGGGGGGGGACTGGCTCAGCGGGGGGGGGGGGGCAGCGACCTGGGATCGGCGACGCATCGCCGAGAGCTCGGCGAGATGCCCCCCGATGGCAACTCCGCACGCTCCTGGGCGGGAGGGGGCCACACGCTTCTCGGCGATCGCAGGGGCGGTTGGGGGTCGATGCGTTCCCCCCTGAGCCTGTCACCCCCCGGTTGTTGCCCCTGACCCTGCCCCCTCTCGGGCGAAGTGATGGGCCGATTTCCACCCCCACCACCATGGGTAGGAGAGGGAGGAGAAAAAGAGGGAGGAAAAGGAGGAGGAGGAGGAGGAGGAGGAGGAGGAGGTGAGGAGGAGGAGGAGCTAGAGGAGGAGGAGGAGGAGGAGGAGGAGGGGGAGGAGGAGGAGGAGGAGGAGGAGGAGGAGGAGGAGGAGCTGGAGGAAGAGGAGCTGGACGAGGAGCTGGACGAGCTGGAGGAGGAGGAGCTGGAGGAGGAGGAGGAGGAGGAGGAGGAGGAGGAGCTGGAGGAGGAGGAGCTGGAGGAGGAGGAGGACCAGTGTAAACCCAAGAGCCATCAACGATGTTGGAGTAAACCCTCCCTCCAAGCTTCCTCTTCATAGGCCCCTACAACGGGTCATTTCCATTGATGGAACTGCCTCGTTGGAAGACACCCGTTGGAAGACCCTGAATGTTGCGTCTTGACGGTCCTGAATCGTGCCAAAACGCCATTCCGAGGACTTCAACACAGAGAACCCACGTAAATTCTGCACCCGCATAATCCTGAATCCTTCCCAAACACCATTTTTGGTACGTTGATGATGGGAATCCGTGCAACTCTTGCATGATTGAAAAACGAATGTGCGCGGCGCTAGGGCGAGAGCCACATTTTGAAAAGGAACCGCACTCGATTCGTGAAGCTCTTTCAAATGTCTGAAACGAATGTGCACGGCGCTAAGGCGAGAGCTACATTTTGAAAACCATTCGCCCTCAACCTGCGAAATTCTTGCAATACTTTACAACAAATGTGCGCGGCGCTAAAGCGCGAACCACATTTTAAAACCACTCGCCCTAAATCCGTGAAACTCTTGCACACCTTGAGAACCAATGTGCGCGGCATTAAGGCGAGAACCACATGTTGAAAACCACCCACCCTCAATCCGTGAAACTCTTGCAATGCTTTACAACACATGTGCGCCGCGCTAGGGCGAGAGCCACATTTTGAAAACCACCCGCCTTCAATCCGTGAAACTCTTGCAAATGTTTAAAACGAATGTGCACCGCGCTGAGGCGAGAACCACATATTGAAAACCACCCGCCCTCCATCTGTGAAACCGTTGCCGGATTTTAGGCTTCCGGCCCGCCCTGAAAACTGGCCTCGGGGTGCGACAGGGAGAAGTTATTTATATAAGGAAAAGGATTGGAGGGGGAGGAGGAGGGGGAGGAGGAGGAGGAGGAGGAGGAGGAGGAGGAGGAGGAGGAGGAGGAGGAGGAGGAGCTGGAGGAGGAGGAGGAGGAGGAGCTGGAGGAGGAGGAGGAGGAGGAGGAGCTTGAGGAGGTGCTGGAGGAGGAGGAGGAGGGGGGAGGAGCTGGAGGAGGAGGAGGACGAGGAGGAAAGAGGCGGAACTGGAGGAGGAGCTGGAGGAGGAGGAGGAGAAGGAGGAGAGGAGGAGAAGGAGGAGGACCTCCCCTATGGCAGCGTGGTGGAGAGCTGGCCCATCGTGGAAGGGGCTGGCCGTAGCCTGCCCTCCGGCCTTCGAGCCCGCGGCAGCGCGGGCAGGAGCGAGAAGCGAGACAGGAAGGCAGGCAGGCACGCATGTGCGGGCAGAGCCCGGCCCTACGCGTGGCGCGGGTGTTCGGCACCACGGTGCCTCAGATGACGCGCTTCACGAACCGGTCTGCAAGGGCTTTCCAGAGCGGTGCATTGCCAGCGTAAGCAAGTCAATCCCCATCCTGCACATCACGTCCGGCAGCACGTAAGAGAGAACAAACAGAACCAGAGTGTGCGAGGGGGAACTCGGCGGCGAGCGAGGGGGGGAAGCGAGAAGGCGGAAGCCCTCTCAAGAGGCGGCGGGGCTTCTCAAGGCCCTCTGGCCTGTATGGGCGTCTGAGCAGCTTTCTGTGCCTTCGGGGGAAGCTTGGAAGACTTCTCAGAAGGCCATGGGACTTCCGAGCCTTCTGAGACGGCCCGCTCCCTCTCACTTCCACCTGGGCTCGCCGCCGAGGAACGAGCAGGCGATGGCAGTTCTGCATTAGAACATACGGTGAGGGCACTGGGTCAGGATCGGTGATCCTCAGGACGCGTGTTGGCGCCAACGTGTGTGATGTCCACCGAAGCCCTTCAACACGGCGCAGGCGGTGCAACGAGGACCCGTACAGGCTGAGCGGGAAACACACACACACACACATCGGTATAACACACGTCCTGCTGCTTGTCGAGAGGAACCCTC